TAAAGAAATTCATCCTTCAAGGTTTCCAATTCAGTTTTCATGCGCTGGTGCATGAAATTTTTAATTGTTTTCCAATGTTTGAACTTTTTTTGCATAGACTAAAGCACAAAACAGTGAAAATCATCAATAGGCGATCGTTCGATGGGCTGAATTGCACAAAACGCATGATCGCACCGGTTAATCTGGTGCGTGTTGCTGTTTATTTCTTTTAACTAGAGGAGGGGATCGGCGGGTGGCGAGGAGGACGAGGGAAAAAGGGAAAGACGTAAAATACACACGGATGGCAAAAGTTTCTGTCTTTCTGACACGTATTACTTAAAGGATGGTACAAAATTTTATTTGCAACTATACTTTTTCATTTCTTCAGCGCAGTACCGTGACTGTATTTGATAGAAAATTCCTCGAAGCTCTGGTTTTTTTAGCCGATTTATGTCTGTGGGGTGATTATTTTAGATTTATATTTGATGATGAAGAAAGAGAGGAACAGGAAAAACGCAAAAGTGCAGTGACCTGTGCAGCAAGGGATCTTAAATCGACGAAACAACGTCTTTATGATCCCAAGAAGATGGGTGTTGAAGAAGCAGATACGCCGAGATCACCAATGTACGTCTCTGTTTAATGGGCCCTTGGCTAGGCTTTATAAGTAATTTCCGAAAGAGGGACTGCGTCTTGCCTTCCCTGGCACTCTAAGTTCAATATTCTGTTTTTTTGTACAGAAATGAACTATTTTTGCATTGAGCTTTAAGTTACTGTGAATATAGACTTCGCTTAACTTAGTGAAATTTTTTTTTTAAATTGTCTTTTTTTAGTAAATTGTTTTTTAGTAAATTTAAACTTGGCAAATTGTTTTTTTTTTGCTTAGCCTGCGCTCAAATTATCGATATTTTAAATATCATTTTCCCGAGCGGCAGTAGCTGTTCTTCGGTTCAACAAATTGCTGGTTGTGATGTTTTAAGCCGGACTGGAAAAGTACTAATTTTTCATGCATTTGCTTTTTCTTCACCGATCACAAGTGCCTCTTTGATCACAAATTTTAATTTTGATAAAACTAGCTTGAAATTGCTCAGTTACGGAAATTTGGAAAGTCTTTGTAAGCAAGTGCGGTTGTGTATCGAAATAGTTTAGTATTTGAAAGGAGAGGTTTGCGATTAAGGGGGGTGGAGGCAAAGCCAATTAGAATTGAACCTGTTTTGAGTCGAAAAGTTATGTTTCCACAGGCAAAGGTGTTATATCTATTTATTTTCAAAATGTTTATTCAGGGATGAATCGAGTGCCGAAGAGGATATGAGTTCTAGTCAGAACAGTAGTGCTGAGGAGACCGGAGGTGATGATTTTGTCGCTGATAATGTTGTTTGCGATGATAGTGACGTTGGCAGACGCGGCTCCACCAACACCGAAAGGTAGTTTTTTAAACAATGACCTTGTTAAGCCACTGGGATAAAAGTGTCTTATAGGAATTGAATTAATGATATAGTAACAATCATTAGAACCAGAAACGCTAGAAAACTGAAATTTTAAGGGAATGTCTTCTCGCAGTGGTGGCCATTTTCAATTCTTTCAGCTAGAAGCATCTGCCGGAAAAAACAGTGATTTGAACAGCGGGTCGTTTAAGCCAGATGTGCATTAGCCACTGGTTTGAAGTAATTTGTTTTGTGCGGATTTGCTTTTTGGATTTTTGTACTGCTGGTTTTTGAGCTGCCTGTACTACGTGCATGTGCAACCTCGTCGCAAGTTACCCGGTAGGATATTGCTGACTGATCTTTGACATCTGTCGGCTTTGATAGTGATACTCGTTCATGGGTTTTTTCTTTTCCTCAAGCAAAATAAATCTCCTCCGCCAAAAATGTGGGATGTAACTCCGTTTCCTCTCTCGTAAAGAGAGATAAGGGAGGAGGGGG